AATTTTTTTTTTTGTCTCGGTTGATATTATAATACAATTTTATATGGTTTTGAGAAAACAATAATGTTTTTATTTTTAAATAAAATATAAATATGAAGATATCATAAAAAATTAAAAAAAAGAATATTGATATTAATATAAAACTAACTATTTAAAATTTTTATTTTTTTATTTCTTTAATTTATTTTCTTTGGGTTAATAATAATTTTCTTTAATAAAAATAATAATGAATTATTTTATTAGAACTCAGTGATTATCTTAATTATATTTTATATTTTTTATATTTAAAATGAGATGTTTATCTGTAGTTAGTCATACAAATTTAAACATGAAACTTTAATAAGTCGTATTTACGTAAAATTTACTTATAATTTTGAATTTTAAATAATATACATCAATAAACAGTATTTTATGCATAAAAAATTGTTGTTAAGAATTTTTTGCAAATACTTTATAATATAATATAGATAATGAATAAATATTTTTACATGATGATGAACATTAATTGCATTTAATTTCAATTTAAATATTAAATAAATAAATACTGATTATAAGATGAAGGAAAATAACAGAGCTATAAAATTAAACTAAAAATAATTCTATTTTTCTTCAATGATTAATTTTCATGTAATGAAATCTCACTTGCTTTTATTGTTTCTAAAAAAAATCGAAAACTTAATTTGTTTTGTCAAACTAAATATATTGTCCGTCAAATCGATAAACGAATGGTAAATATAAAACTTATATATGAAAACAATTATGTAAAAGAAAATACGATAAAAAATATGTTTTTGTGGGTTTATTCAGTAAAATTTATGTAGAAAGCTAATATTTTTCTAAACATGTTCCTCGTAATTAAAAAACATGCTATTTTTATTTATATAAAAAATCTTTTAATTTATACAGACATGTTAATCTACACAGACAACTTTATTCATACAAGACTTAATTRAAAACCAACCAAACARCCCCTTAATTATTTTCAARTTTTTAAGATAACATTTTTATTCGTCATCTATGTATTATCGGATGAAACGTTACCCTAATAAGGCTATTTTTTATGATAGGAGCTTAAAAATAAGTAAATGTTATTTGTTAGAGGTTGTTTATCAAAGGCGTACTGGGTAAGCACTTATCGGCAAGAGCACCACCTTAACTTACCTTATCGGGTATCTTGGCCATCAAAATGAATTGTTGGTAAACGTATTTTACTCGGTAAGTGTTTACCGGGTGAGAGTCTTTTCCCTCACTTACCGAGTTACAAGTAGTTTTATTTTAAAACATTTTTAGTCGGTTACATGTGGGTTTTTTGGGTTAAAATGGTGTAAGTAATCAATTTTAAAAGTTCGATGATTTATTTCACTGGAAAAAAAATGCTTAAGGACTTCATCATTTAAAATGAGAAAGTTTAATATTTTTTTCATTCAAAAAAATAGTTCAGGGACCTAATTATTTAAATTCGGATAGTTCGTTGGGTTTTTCTGAACTTTTCTAATTTCATATGTTGTAACACCCTCAAATTTGGAAAGAACGACTAATTCAAAATTTTCCATAATACATCAAATAAGGATTTAATCCTATTTTATAAGTCAATAACTGATTTTCTATAACATCAAAATAATATATTACAAACCTTATACAAGCCCATTAGAGAGTGACCTTGATTTAGGCTAAACTTATATTAGTTTCATGTTGTAGGCTCAACTTTTATAATTCAATTAAAAAAACATTTGTCGAAAACATTATGTTTTTAGTTTTCGTTTCTAGAGTGATTGCATAATATAACTTGGAAAAATTATGAAATCCATCAAAAATCAAATCCAAAATTCTAAATCGTCATTCAACGTTTGTCAAAAATTCAACTATTGTTGGTGGATTTGTTTAACTTTTTTTTCAACTTGCTCATTGTTTTATTTATTTATTTTAGAGGTGAGCTTTTCTTTTATAATTTGGTATATTATTTTTGATTTATCGGTAGAGATTTTAATTAGATATATAATTGTTATGTTTTTTTTTAATTTAAAGCCAATAAGAGACCTAAACCGTCTAAACGGTCAGACTAGACCGCCTTTTGTGGTGTGGTTCGGAAGAAATTGGAAGAAATATCTAAACTAATTCAACTTCGGAAGTTGACCAATGCTATCAGGAAGGGTGTCATTCAATCTGTTATATGAAACATCTAACATCTCCAATGACGATAATCCGATTCAAACTAGAAACAAGACTATCGAGAAGTTGTATGCCGAGTGAGTGCAAGTATGATTCAACCATAAAAGAAAAATGATATTATTCATTGTAAAATATTAAATTTGATATTAATTAAAAAAAAAGTTATTTAAATATTTTTGTTTCATACGATGTTCCAATAATCTATTAGCTTTAATATAACACACTATTATTAGGTTAAGATCCTACCTCCGAAACGATTCTTTTGATTTTCTCAAATAATTAATATTTAAAGAGAGAGCACAGTGAATGATGGAACGGAGAAAGCTGTTACTGCAATTTCTAATTTTATAGATTACAACTTAAAATATGTTACAACATCATATTATTTTTCATCACTTGGAAAACATGTTGCAAAAACACTTTTGCATAACATCATAAACCATATACCCCACACGAGTTAAGAAACGAAAATATACAATCCTCCATGATCTGATGACCATCAACGGTGCCACAATCATCCAAAAACCAGTAACCAAGCCAAGCACAATGCTGATGATCAACCCCATATCCGCTCCATCTTCATCATCTTCTTCTTCTACTTGGTTTATGGCACCTACTTCAACTGCACATTGCTTTGTGAGTGGATCTCCACAAAGGTTGTTGCCAATGAAGCTGAACTCATTCAGGCTCTGCAACTGAGTACTTGATGGTATTCTTCCCGTAAAACTGTTGTAGGACACATTGAAGTTGCTCAAGAAACTCAAGCTTGACAAGCTCGCGGGAAGCTCCCCAGAAAGCTTGTTTAATGATAAATCAAAAGATTCAAGTGATTTCAAGTCTCCAATCTTCTCTGGGATCCTTCCTACCAATTGATTTCTTGATAGATTCAGTGAATTCAACTTYCGAAGAGCCATTAGCTCACTYGGGATGTGCCCAACAAAATTGTTACTCGAAAGGTCCATCACGAAGATGAGTCTAAGAATAGTGCTRTACATGTCCTCTCGYCCCTTTATCACCAATAACTCACTAATGAGAAGCTCATTAAAATCACTCGAAAAGATAAGATTTAAATGATTTGAATCACTTTCTTTCCCAGAAAGGACACTGAAGTTGTTGAAGCATCTTGGAATATTTCCAGAGAGATTGTTGTGAGAAAGATCCAAAATGTGAATCTTTGTAAGATGACAGAGCTCTTGAGGAATATTTCCATCAAAATTGTTCGATCTAAGATTGAGACTTCTCAGATTAGACAATTCTCTCCCAAGCCATGTTGGAATGGATCCAACAAGTTCATTTCTACCAAGTAGAAGGTACTCTAAGHCTGWCAAGTTCATTARTGAAGTAGGTAGTCTTCCGGAGAGGTTGTTTCCACGCATGTTCAATTGACCTAGGTTATATGAAAACCCCAATGTTTTTGGAACCCCACCAGACAGATTGTTGTTCTCCAAGTTTAAGAATAACAACCTCTGCCACTTCACCCAACACTCAGGAATGACACCCGACAAATGATTATTTCCCAAATTAAGAGCGTCTACTCGTATCTCATCATAGGGACACAAGAAATGATGCAATGATCCCGTAAAGGAGTTATTTGATAGATCCAGAAGGTATGCAGAAAAACCATCTGAAAGATGAGGTAATTTCCCTGTAAACTCGTTAGAACTCAAGTCGAGTATATCATATACATCAGGTGTTGCAGGGAAACTTGGCAACGTTCCTTGGAAATGATTTTGTGACATATCTAAATACGTCAAATTGGGGAATGAAATCCAAAATGATGGAGGCATGGGTGCTGAAATGTTTGTGTTGCTTATGTCCAAATCTGATAAATCCCTTTGTGATAGCAACCACGATGGAAATTGAGGCCCTAAACCCCAAGAGTTTAAATCTAAATGCTGAAGCTGGAAAGGCGGGATCCAATTGGCAAGTTGCGGTCTTAAGATTATGTTGTTTCCTCTTCCATTTAGGAGTTTCAATCCGGTTAGTTTGGCAAAATGAGCTTCTGTGACAACACCTGTCAACAAATTGGAAGAAAGATCTAAATAATTCAACTTTGAAAGTTGACCGAGGCTATCAGGGAAGCTACCATTCAGCTGGTTGTCCGAAAGGTCTAACATCTCCAACGACGCTAATCCTCCTATTGAGTTCAGAATAACGCCAACGAAACTGTTTGACCTAAGATTCAGGTTAACCAAATGTATCAATTGTCGAAGTTGATCTGGTAGATGACCAGAAAGTCCTGTAGCCCTTAGGGCTAATGACTCCAAGCAAGGTGATTTGCACTCCAAGAAACTTTCAAGAAGGTATGTTAAACTCATATTATCAAAATGGTTAAATGACAAATCAATCTCTTTCAACTTACAAAGGTTACCAAATGATATAGGTATGGGCTTGGTGAGCTGATTATTTGACAGGTCAAGGCTAAGAAGAGAGGTCAAGTTGTGAACGCCAGCTAGATCTGAACTTGAAACATCACAATAACTAATATCTAATGAGAGGAGATTACTACCTAATACTAATGAAGAATTCATTAAATTGTTCCTGGAGAGTTGAAGAAACTTGAGAGAAGTCAAGTTATGGAAGCCATCAATACTATTATGAGTAGGGCCTTGGAAACTACACCAACTTAAATCTAATGAAACAAGACTGGTTGTACTAAAAATCCACCGTGGCATAGAAATGTTAACCAAATAGTTACGAGAAAGATCAAGCAAGGTAAGGGATGTGATATTAAGACTAGGGACATGGGGATGTACATGGGAGAGTTGACAATCAGACAAACATAGTTCGGCCAAAGAAGGGAGGGTGTTCATGACCTGAAACCAATCGATTGCTTTGCTAAGATCCACGCCGCTCATATCCAGGTGGCGCAACAAACGTAAACTTGACAACCATTGCATGTTCAACATGCTTAACTGACCATCATCATGAAAACTTTTAAGACCAAGGACTTGCAATTCTGAAAGATTTCCCAGTTGAGGAGGGATGATTCCAGCAAATCCGGCATTTGAGAGGTTAAGATATCTTAAGTTTCGAAGAGAACCCAGAAAGCTGGGAATTTGGATCCCTTCAAAATCATTGCAGCTTAAGTCTAGATGTCTGAGTTGCTTTAGCTGCAATATGGATGGACTTAAATCCCTTCCTAACTTGCGCTTGTTGGTGTGGGCGAATATTTTGGCGTGACAAGTATAATCAAGTCCACGAAGATGAATCTGTTGAACATGACCCGTATAGTTAGCACAAACAATCCCCGCCCAATTACAACACTCTCTCTCCTCATCCACCCAAGGAGCAAGGTTGTCTGCACCATCTATGAGACCATGCTTGAATTGAAGAAGTGCTTGCCTCTCGACATCCTTGCATAGTACATGATTGAAATTTTGAGTGGATAAACAGAAATGAAAAAACGACACAAGAAAGAGTAAGCAAAAGTAGCATGAAGAAGTCATAATGATCGATGATGAAGAGAATGATGATGTGATTCAAACATTTACATGAAGTTTTATTTATAGTAGTTGGAATGGAATTTTATAATAACAAATTTGATTTCATTTTTCCGTGACCACAAGTCTCACTGGTAAACATCAAGAAAAAAAGTAAAGAACACATCTTATCTTCCACTAAACTCCACCATGGGTCTCCTATTGACATGTCGATTCGTATATAACTTTTCCAAGTATTGAATAAGTAGATAAAATAGTAAAATTACCTTTTTTGATGTTAAAAAT